CTCAGTCAGACTGATGAATGTAAGTTAAACCTCATGTGGAGTATACTTACTGAGGTAGTTTATACTTTACCTGACTTGGGGATAAAATAAATAATCAGTAGTTTGGTTTGGGTTTAAATGAGCAGATACCTGTTTGGGGATTGAATATATTATCCTGTTTGTTGCAGCAAATTACTTAATAAAACATCGAGAATAAATTATCAGTATGTTTGTTTGAAAGAAAGTATAAGCTATCAATAGGTAATTCATTTTTTATATTTAAGTTTAATATATTAGGACTTACGGGGCCTAATATATTACATATAACATAGGTTACATGTAACATAAATGGGTACAAAATACTTAGGAACATGAAATTCTGTAGAAAGCTAATGTTTTGATTTGTATTACTATGATAGTTATACCGTCTCACTGGGTTGCTCTTAGATGAGAGAAATTTCAGAGAAAATTCTGAACTCAAAGTTGCTTTCTCCTCTTCTTCTAATTCAAGTAGCAGTGTAAGATGAAAATACAATTGAGAGAACTATAGTCACGATTATGTTGTCAGTTCCCAATATGAAGGCTAATCCCTTTTCTTTGCTCCAAACACATAAAAGTAATAGATGAACCATAACTAGAAAAAAACCTTGAAACCACATAGCCACACCCTAAAATGAGAAAGAGAACTTCTTGATCAATGAGAAATAGAAAAAGCGCTCGAAGCAGATAGCAGGGTCTGAAGCTGTGAGGCTGCTAAGCTTCTCGTCTGGAAGGAGGCAGGAGTGGTTGGAAGCTCAGCTGCTGCGAGGCAGGCGCAGCACTCAGGGGCCCTTGGGAGGCAGCATGCTAGTGCCAGGTTCCCTGCTGGAAAGTAAGGAGGAGAATAGATCGCTCACTGAAAAGAGCCTGAATAGAGGCACTGATAATGACCCAGTTCTGTGTCTAGGGAGGTGGGAAGACCCAGAACGAGCCTCACTCTGGAATCTTGAGCCTATTGTGAGGGGATGTGGCTTGGTGACAGACCTTGCTTATCCTGCCTTTAATGTGATTGCAGGGCAGCAGCCCTGATAAACCAGCGATGAGACCTCGTTTCAGACTGAGAGCTCTAGAAAGCTCTGCAGGACCTGTAGGCTTGGGGGGATTAAGCCATACTTAGTGAGCCTACATAACTAAAATTCCAAAATATATGCTAAAATCTAACTTAATACTAAGAAAGACAGCCAACATAGTCATGATCATGTTTAAGGTAAGTTTATCCAAAGAGAAGCAAAAATTAATAGGATAATTTTGAAAGTATTAAGTATTTTTAATATCCTCAAAGATAAATGAAGGATATAGTATTTATTGAGAAGAATAAATAAATATAAAATAAAAACAGGGAGAAATGAAACAAGAACATGACTCAGAACTATTTCATTAGAAAGCTTAGAATGAAAAATATAGTCTTTGGATTTGAAAGCTCAGTAGACAAATTCTAAACTGGACAGTATCAAAGACAGTTAGTAAGTTGTAAGATAATGAGAAAAAATTATCCAAATTATCTTTATGGAAGAGACTAGGTTGTCAGATGGAAAGAACACTCTGAATACTAAGCCGGATAAATGAAGATAAATCAACACAGAAACACATGGTTGTGAAAGTCAAGAGTGTTAAAGAATGAAAAGTAAACCTTAAAAGCTACCACAGAGCTTTTCCACAGGGCAACAATAGTTAGGTTTGTATGATGAACTGCTCAAAGCCAAAAACAGATACCAGAATAAAGTGAACAAGTATCTTTAAAGTGTGTAAGGAAGTGACTAATTCTGTACCCCATAAACTATAAGGGTGAATGTAAAATAAAGACATATTTCAACCATGCTAGGACTGAAAGTTTATTATCTATAGACTTCATTGAAAGCACTATTAAAGGATGTACTTCAGATATAAGAAGTTTACCTGTAGAGAAGCAGAATGCAAGAATCTGTGGTGTGCACTGAAATCCATATGTAAAGTTAGTCAACCACTGACTTTTTGTTCTCTCAGTCCTGTCCGACTCTTTGTGACCCAATGGACTGCAGCATGCCAAGCTTCCCTGTCCTTCACCATCTCCTGAAGTTTGTTCAAACTCATGTCCATCAAGTCAGTGATGCCATCCAACATCTCATCCTCTGTCATCCCCTTCTCCTTCTGCCTTCAGTCTTTCCCAGCATCAGGGTCTTTTCCAATGAGTTGGCTCTTCACATCAGATGGCCAAAGTATTGGAGTTTCAGCATCAGTCCTTCCAGTGAATATTCAGGATCCAATATTTAGGATTGACTGGTTTGATCTCCTTGCTTTCCAAGAGACTCTTAAGACTTTTCTCCAGCACCACAGTTCTAAAGCATCAATTCTTCAGCGCTCAGACTTTTTTATTGCCCAGCTCTCACATCCGTACATGACTACTGGAAAAACCATAGCTTCAACTGTATGGACCTTTGTAGGCAAAGTAATGTCTCTCTTTCTTAATACGTTGTCTAGGTTTGTCATAGCTTTTCTTCCAAAGAGCAAGCATATTTTAATTTCACAGCTGCGGTCACTGTCCACAGTGATTTTGGATCCCAAGAAAATAAAGTCTGTCACTGTTTCCATTTTTCCCCCATCTATTTGCCATGAAGTGATGAGACTGGATGCCATGATCTTCGTTTTTCACATGTTGAGTTTTAAGCCAGATTTTTCACTCTCCTCTTTCACTTTCATCAAGGGGCTCTTTAGTTCCTCTTTGCTTTCTGCTGTAAGGGTGGTGTCATCTACATATCTGAGGTTATTGATATTTCTCCCTGCAATCTCGATTCCAGCTTGTGCTTCATCCAGCCCAGCATTTCACATGATTTACTCTACATATAAGTTAAATAAGCAGGATGACAGTATACAGCCTTGACATACTCCTTTCCCAATTTTGAATCAGTTTGTTGTTTCATGTCCGGTTCTAACTGTTGCTTCTTAACCTGCATGCAAATTTCTCAGGAGACAAGTAAGGTGACTTGGTATTCCCATCTCTGAAGAATTTTCCAGTTTGTTGTGATCTCTACAGTCAGAGGCCTTAGTGTAGTCAGTGAAGCAGAGGTAGATGTTTTTCTGGAATTATCTTGCTTTTTCTATGATCCAGTGGATGTTGGCAATTTGATCCCTGGTTCCTCTGCCTTTTCTAAATCCAGCTTGTACGTCTGGAAGTTCTCGGTTTACATGCTGTTGAAGCTAGCTTGAAGGATTTTGAGCATTACATTGCTAGCATGTGAAGGGAGTGCAGTCGTGCGGTAGTTTGAACATTATTTGGCATTGCCCTTTGAGATTGGAATGAAAACTGGCCTTTTTTGAGTACTGATTTTTTAAAAAACAATTTATGGTTTTTTTTAAAAAAACATGAAATTAAAAACCTAAGCAACTTTAACAAAACAGGGAAGAATGGGGTCAGCACCTTGCTGTTCAAGGAGAAGTTAAAAGTGTATTAACCTCCTTTGATCTTGTTCAGGAGGTAAATAGCAGTATTTTATCTATTTTTATTGATTGATTGATTACAGTGGGTCTTCGTTATCGCGCACAGGTTTTCTCTGGTTGCAGTGAGCAGAGGCTATTCTCCACCTTCTCTTGTTACGGAGCAGGGCTGAAGAGCACGTGGGCTTCGGTAGTTGCAGCTCACAGGCTCTAGAGTGCGGGCTCAGAAGGTGTGATGCGCAGGCTTAGCTGCTCCTCCGCAGCATGCTGGGATCTCCCACATGCTGGAACCCATGTCTCCTGTATTGGCAGGTGTTTCTTATCCATGGGCCACTTTATCCCTTGGACATTGTTTTTACTTTCCTTTTTTCCTGTCCCGTAAATGTTGATTTGTTGCTGGACATTGTTCTTAAAACAATACAGGTGGAGGTAAATTGTATGGAAATAAGTATACCTTTTTGTCTGCTAGATCAGGATAGTAAACTTTTCCATCAGAGTCCAGATAGTAAATATTTTTTATTTTGTAGGCCATGCAGTCTTAGATGTGAAGTGTATTTTACCTAATAATAATATAGCCATTCCTACTTTATTTTGATTAATAGTTCATGTTATATCTTTTTCCATTCTTCTACCTTCAATCTAACTTTATTTAAAGTGAGTTACATTTGAAGTTTCTTGTAGATAGCATATAGTTTCATCATGTATTTTTTATCCAGTTGTTCAGATTTTAATTATTGAAATCTCTTTGTATGGATTTGCTCTAGACACTTTACATACATAACTTACATAACTTGCCACATCTAGTAGTGCTGACATTGTCCCAATTCAAATGAGAGGTAGAAAGTATCCTCTCTTTAAATTCCTTTGCTCTCCCTGGTTTATAATGGAATTGTCTTAGGTGTTCCTTTGCATCCATTGAGAACCACATCAGTGTTACAATTTTTGCCCCAACTGTCAAACATAATTTAGAAAACTCAAAAGAAGAAGGAAAGTGTCATATTCACCTATGTTTTTTCCTTCCATTGTTCTTTCAAGAGATGTGTTGATTACTTTGAATTTTGCTCTTATTAACTATTTCACGTTCAGATTCCCAAAGACTATTAACTCTCAGGAAACACAAAACATTAGGCTGTTTATCTGTAAATATGAACGTCGAAATGACAGTGCCAAAAAGTGAGGTCATATTCTGAATTAGAAACTCTTCTTGGAATTGATAAGACCCTACCACCACTTTATATTGTGCAAGTTTAGTGATTTAGGGTGGTACATTGATAAGAGTACAAATTAGGATCTATTGATCAAAACTCCGAATTTTCTTCTAGATTGGCAATTATAATTTATTAATGTGAAATTTATGATTATCACCATATTTAGTTCAAAAGTATAACTCACATCCTTTAGTAACTGATAAACTTAATTCTAAAAATTCTTGACAAAAATAATCTTAAACAGTTCTTGTGCATGATCGTTCCAGTGCTGTTATTAATTGTAAAGCAGTTGCCCTCATTCTAATTAATTCTGTGTCAAGGAGGAAAATACTGACTCTTATGGGGATTTTCTTTCTTTATCAGGCACAGGACCTAAATGTCATTGAAGAAGTGATTCGAATGATGTTAGAGATCATCAACTCTTGCCTGACAAATTCTCTTCATCACAATCCAAACTTGGTGTATGCGCTTCTTTACAAACGAGATCTCTTTGAACAATTTCGAACTCATCCTTCATTTCAGGATATCATGCAAAATATTGATCTGGTAAGTGTAAATGGAGATTTTTATTATGATTCTTATTTAAACATAAAAGTAGAGAAAGTTTATCAAAACTTGATTTTTAAAAAAAACCTACAGTAGTCTCTTGAACGTTAATGGTATTTGCCATCTATTCTAAGAGTTGTCACTTTCCACATGTGTGTGTATGTATTATATACAGACATGTATATGTACATGCACATATGTCTTTAGGAGAATTGAGATCATATTTTATATCTTAATAATTCTGAATTCTACCATTTTTACCTAACACATTTTCTTGTGATATTAATTCTTTGAAAATTTCACATTTTAATAACTATAACATCTATTTCATGGATCACAGCCTTGTCATGGCATGTCAGAGGGGCTTGCATAACAATGAAGCTATGAGCCATGCTGTGCCAGGCCACCCAAGACAGACAGGTCATAGTACAGAGTTCTGACAAAACGCGGTCCACTGGAGGAGGAAATGGCAACCCACTCCAGTATTCTTGCTAGAGAAACCCATGGAGATATGAAAGGGCAAGAAGATTTGACACCAGAAGCTGAGCCCTGCAGGTCAGAAGGTGTCCAGTATGCTACTGGGGTAAAATGGAGGGCAATTACTAACAGCTTCAGAAAGAAGGAAGCGGCTGGGCCAAAGTGGAAACGACCCTCAGTTGTAAATGTGTCTGATGGGGGAAGTAAAGTCCAATGCTGTAAAGAATAGTATTTCTTAGAAACCTGAAATGTTAGGTTCATGAATCAAGGTAAATTGGATGTGATCAAGAAGGAGATAGCAAGGATGGACATTGAGATCTTAGGAATCAGTGAACTAAAATGGATGGGAATGCGTGAATTTAATTCAAATGACTGTTACATCTACTACTGTGGGCAAGAATCCCTTAGAAGAAATGGAGTAGCCCTCATAGTCAACAAAAGAGTGAAATGCAGTACTTGGGTGCAACCTCAAAAACAATAGAATGATCTCAGTTCATTTCCAAGGCAAACCATTCAACATCACAGTAATCCAAGTCTGTGTCCCAACCACTGATGCTGAAGAAGCTGAAACTGACTGGTTCTATGAAGACCTACAACAATTTTAGAAGTAACACCCAAAAAATATGTCCTTTTCATCATAGAGGATCGCAATGCAAAAGTAGGAGGTCAAGAGATGCCTGAGATACAGGCAAGTTTGGCCTTAGGGTACAAAATGAAGCAAGGCAAAGGCCAGCAGAGTTTTGTCAGATGAACACACTGGTCATAGCAAACACACTTTGCCATCAACCCAAGAGACAACTGTACATGTGGACATGACCAGATGATCAATACTGAAATCAGATTGATTATACTTTGCAGCCAAAGATGGAGAAGCTCTATGCAGTCAGCAAAATAAGACCTAGAGCTGAGTGTGGCTGAAATCATGAGCTCCTTATTGAAAAATTCAGGTTTAAATTGAACAAAGGAGGGAAAACCACTAGACCATTCAGGTATGACCTAAATCAAATCCTTTATGATTATATAGTGGAGATGATGAGTAGATTTAAGGGATTAGATCTGGTAGACAAAGTGCCTGAAGAACTACAGTGTTACGGAGATTTGTAACATTGTATGGGAACCAGTGACCAAAACTGTCCCAAAGGAAAAGAAATGCAAGAAGGCAAAGTGGTTGTCTGAGGAAGCTTTACAGTTTAGGAAAAAAGGTAAGCAAAAGGCAAAGGAGAAAGGAAAAGATAATACCAACTGAGTGCAGAGTTCCAGAGAATAAAAAGGAGAGATATGAAAGCCTTGTTAAGTGAACAGTGCAAAGAAATAGAGGAAAACAATAGAATGGGAAACACTAGAAATCTCTTCGAGAAAATTGGAGATATCAAGAGATATTTCATGCAAGGATGGACATGACAAAGGACAGAAATGGTAAGGACCTAATAGAAACAGAAGAGATTAAGAAGAAGTGGCAGGAGTACACGTTAGAACTATACAAAAAACGTCTTTACTGACCTGGTTAACCACGTTGGTGTGGTCACTCACCTGGAGCTGGACATCCTGGAATGTGAAGTCAAGTGGGCCTTAAGTGGCAAAATTCCAGCTGAGCCATTTCAAATCCTAAAAGATGATGCCATTAAAATCAATATGTCAGCAAGTTAGGACTCACTCAGCACTGGCCACTCAGCAGTGGCCACAGGATTGGAAAAGATCAATTTTCATTCCAATCCCAAAGAAAGGCAATGCCAGAGAATGTTCAAACTCCCGTGCACTTGTGCTCATTTCACATGCTAGCAAGGTAATGCTCAAAATCCTTCAGTTAGCTTCAGCAGTATGTGAACCAGGAACTTCCAGATGTACAAAATGAATTTAGAGAAGACAGAGGAACCAGAGACCAAACTGCCAACATTCATTGGATCATGGAGCAAACAAGGGAGTTCCAGAAAAACATCTACTTCTGCTTCATTGACTACCCTGAAGCCTCTATGTGGATCATAACAAATTGTGGAAAATTCTTAAAGAGTTGGAAATACCAGACCGCCTTATCTGTCTCCTAAGAAACTTGTAAGTAGGTCAAGAAGCAACAGTTAGAACCAGACATGGACCAATTGAATGGTTCAGGATTGGGAAAAGAGTATGACAAGACCGTATGTTGTCATCCTGCCTATTAAACTTCTATGCCAAATACATCATGTGAAATGTGGGGCTGGATGAATCACAAGCTGGAATCAAGGTTGCCAGGAGAAATATCAACAACCTCAGATATGCAGTTGATACCACTCTAATGGCAGAAAGCAAAGAGGAACTAAAGAGCCTCTTGATGAGGGTGAAAGAGGAGAGTGAAAAACCTGGCTTAAAACTCAACATTCATAAGATTGTGGCACCTGGTCCCATCTCTTCATGACAAATAGATGGGGGGAAAGTGGAGACAGTGACAGAAATAATTTTCTTGGGCTCCAAAATCACTGTGGACAGTGTCCACAGTCATGAAGTTAAAAGACGCTTGCTCTTTGGAAGGAAAGCTATGACAAACCTAGACAGTATATCAGTTTGCTGACAGAGGTCCTTGTAGTCAAAGCTGTGGTTTTTCTGGTAGTCATGTACAGATGTGAGAGTTGGACCATAAAGAAGGCTGAGCACAGAAGAATTGATGCTTTCAAATTGTGATGCTGGAGATAACTCGAGAGTCCTTTGGACTGTGAGGAGATCAAACCAGTCTATCCTAAAGGAGATGAACCCTGAATACTCATTGGAACGACTGTTAATAAAGCTGAAGTTACAATACTTTGGCCACCTGATGAGAAGAGACGACCCTTTGGAAAAGACCCTGATGCCGGAAAGGCAGAAGGAGAAGGGGGCAGTTGAGAGAGAGATGGTTGGGTAGTATCACCACTCAATGGACATAAATATGAGCAAACTCTGGGAGATTGTGGAAGACAGAGGAGCATGCTACAGTTCACGAGGTCACAAAAAGTCAGACACAATTTAGTGACCAAACAACATTAACCTGTATTATGGAGATCCTAAAATATGTTAACCCTTACCCCATTATTGCTTATTTGATTGTTTCTAATATTTTGTAATTAATTCATAACTGACAGCTTCTAAATAAAGTATAGCTCACCTTTTTTAGTTCTGTTGTTGGTATAGTCTTAAAACTGGAATTTACTGTCAGGTGTCTGTATTTTCAAGATTCACCCATGTCAAATTGCTGTCTGGATGTATTGTACAACTAATGTATCTGTGCATCATCTCATACGTCTACAAGTGAGCTATGAGAGGACCTACCTCACTATACTTTTATAGCTTTGAGTATTATATTTGTTTTAGCATTTGCTATTTTGTATTAAAAATGGTATTCATTATTTTTAATTTTTATTTCTTTCATAATTAGTGTGATTGAACATTTTTCACAGTTCTGTGAACCTTTACTTCCTGTTCTTTTTAAAAACACTTTTCTGCTAATCCTTCTGTTGCTATATTAATGTTTCCCAGTTTGATTTGATTCCATAGCTATTTGTTGTATAGCTTATCAGGTTCACAGTTGCTATGCACAAGAGGAAGCTGAAGAGCTACCATTCCTGTCCTTGTTTTACTTATATTTGTTGTTGTTTAGTCATCCAATCGTGTCCGACTCTTTGCAGCCCCATGAACTGCAGCGTGCCAGGCCTGCCTGTCCCTCACCATCTCCCGAAGTTTGCCCAAGTTCATGTTTATTGCATCGGTGATGTCATCCAGCCATCTCATTCTCTGATGCCCTCTTCTCCTTCTGCCCTCAATCTTTCTCAGCATTGGGGATTTTTCCAGTGAGTCAGCCATTTGCATATCATTTACTTAAATTTGGGAAGATTTTAAATAATTACTGCACAAGTATAAATACATAGTTATTTCCATCATGACTGAGCACAGGTGCATACCTTCCTCCAGGACGTGCACCTCATAGTGAAATTGCTGCATAACATGTACCATTTCCTTTATTACGTGTGTGCTCTGCTAAGTTGTTTCAGTCATGTCCGACTCTATGCAGGCCTGTGGATTGTAGCACACCCAGTCTCCTCTGTCCTTGGGATACTGCAGGCAAGAATACTAGAGTGGATTGTCATTCCCCTCTCCAGGGGATCTTCCCAACTCAGAGATCAAACTGGCATCTGTTATTTAACCTGCTTTAGCAGGTGATTTCTTTTACCACTAGTGCTACCTGGGATGCTGCCATTTTACTCTTTGACTGGTGGTATGTAGAATTTCTGTTACTTCACATCCTTGTGAACCTTAGTTTTGTCAGTTTTGTAATAGCACCTCATTGTGGTTTTCATTTGGGTTTCCTCTTGTGACACCTAAGCAACTCTTTTGCCAGTTTTTCTAAGTTATTTATCTTTGTGTAGATTCTTTTATTTGTTCTAGTTATGTTGTTAGGCCTTTCTTCACTATGTTTCACAAACTTTCTGACATAACTTTAAAACTCCTCTCAGAAGAGTCAGACATCCAGTTCTCAGTCCTATTCTTTTCTTGGAGAACTGCTTCCAGCCCCAGCCAGCTTG